GAAAGAACTCATTTGTAGAACATTTTTGTGTAAAATTTCTGTCTCTCTGTCTGTCTCTCAGTCTCTCTCTCTCTCTCTCTCTCTCTCTCTCTCTCTCTCTCTCTCTCATTGTGTGCTTTGAATTTTTTTTAGGCATGATTGTGATGAATTCCTGGAAGATAGAAAGCAGATGGAGCCTCTGTGGAGGAGGCTGCTGGGCAGCTGGCAGCCAGAGAAGAGGAGGAGGGGAGCTGGTCTGTTTGGCTCAGGTTTGAGAGAAACAGTCGGGGGCGAAAGAGAAAATAAAGGAGAAAGCCTGTGTCAGTGCGGACCTAACTCAAGCACGCGCGCTGACCCTCCCCACTGACGCCCGCGAAACGGAAGGCAAGACGGCAGGGGGCGGGGCCGAGGTACAGGCGGGCTCTGAGCGGGCGGGTTCCCTAATCCGCAAAAACGCGGTTGCAAGCTGGCCCAAACCGACTAACGCTGCAAAGGCCAGGCCGCACTAACTCCTCAGAGACCTGCCGCCACCGCTGCCGCCTGCACCTTTGCCATTGCAGCTCATTTGCCTACCTTCCCAGTCGTCTCCTTCTTTGTCGCCGTGCCGCTACCTCAGCAGCATCGACAACAGATAAGTGGCGGATTCAGGAATTTGGGGTTGGGAGTCTGGGCAGGCGCCAGGAACCGACAGCACACAAGAGCCCGCCATCTCTCTTTAGCAACCACGGCTGCAGTGCAGTTTTTAGCCCGTTGTGGCGTTCGCTTGAGAGGTGCACGGTGTCCCAGTGCCCGGAATCAAGAGCTGGAGCTTTTCTGTCAATCCTGTTTCAAGCACTAGGGAGGGATCTGGTCTTTGAGATCGTGAACAAAATTATAACCTCATTTTGGATAGTGTTGTTATTTTTGTCAGCTGAGTTAAGCAAACGGCAACTTTGCCAAAGCCTTCTTAAACCCTTAGCATGTCTCCTCCAACGGTGCCTCCGACAGGGATAGATGGCGTGTCTGCATACCTGATGAAGAAAAGGCACACCCACAGGAAGCAACGGCGCAAGCCCACTTTCCTCACTTGTAGAAACATAGTGGGCTGTCGCATTCAACACGGTTGGAAAGAAGGCAATGAGCCGGTGGAGCAGTGGAAAGGCACTGTGCTTGAGCAGGTTTCTGTAAAGCCCACATTGTACATTATTAAATACGATGGAAAAGACAGCGTGTATGGACTAGAACTACACCGGGATAAGAGAGTTTTAGCGCTAGAGATTCTTCCTGAGAGAGTGCCAGCTCCTCGTATTGATTCACGCTTGGCAGATTCCTTGATTGGGAAGGCAGTGGGGCATGTGTTTGAAGGCGAGCACGGTACAAAAGATGAATGGAAGGGTATGGTGCTGTCGCGAGCACCCGTGATGGATACTTGGTTTTACATCACCTATGAGAAAGATCCGGTCCTCTATATGTACACCTTGCTGGATGACTACAAAGATGGTGACCTTCGAATCATTCCAGATTCCAGTTACTATTTTCCTACAGCAGAACGGGAGCCTGGAGAAGTGGTCGACAGCCTCGTGGGCAAGCAGGTGGAGCATGCCAAAGATGACGGGTCCAAGAGAACTGGCATTTTCATCCATCAAGTGGTGGCCAAGCCGTCTGTCTACTTTATTAAGTTTGATGATGATATTCACATTTACGTCTATGGTTTGGTGAAAACCCCGTAAGTTTATTGTGCTCTTTACAACAGTGGTGGAGTTATTAGATGTAAAATATCTTGTTTTCTTATAATTGTATATTTTGAGAAGAGTTTTGACTCAAAAATTCAGAAAAATTGGTGAATGTTGTTGTGTCTCCCAATCTTGCATTGTCTACTTTCACAGTTTTGGCCTAATATACTTTGATATTTATTCTGTATTTGAAATTTTTAATTGAGTACAAATAGAAAAATAAAAGTGCAACCTTTGGAACAATACAAAAGCAAATCAACTCCACATCATGTCCTTCTTCCCCACGTTTTACTTGTCTCTTTTTCTTCCCAGGTAACAAGTATTGAAAATATGATCTATATCTTTTTTTTTCTGTCCTCTATGTTTGTTTCAGTAGTTTCCCTAAAAAAATGACAAGTTTGCATACAGATGTCATCTCTCCAGACTAGTAGATAACAGTCCATAATTCTGTCTCTGCATCTATCTTTCACTCTTACACTCCTGTTTACTATTTCATATACAGTATATGTTCAAGTGCCAAAAAAGTATTTGACCATCTTCTATAGCAGTTTATAATGCTTTAAATCTGAAAAGTGAAGAATTGCATTGCACTGTTTTTCACTTTAATTGGCTTTTATCTGATTTCAATGAGTATTTTTTTTCTATCACGACATTTCATTTTTATGATTTGACAATTACTATTCTTTTTTTATTGATCTATTGAATTGTTGATTTTTCCTTATAAAATTGTAGAAATTCCCATTATAAAGTCTATTTAATCATTTTTAACTCGTTATGGTTTTTCATTATATCATTAATCTTAACTTTATTTTTTTAATCTTAATTTTATTGATGACATGTTTTGCTTTATAATTTATAAAAGTTTTAAGTAGGCCATAATTGTCTTTATAATATTTTTTTTTTGGTTTCTTACCTTTTTCAGATGGATGCCCCTAACCTGTCATACAAATGTTCACCTACATTTTTTAATAATTTTATTGTTTTTAAAGTTTAAATGTTTCATCCATCTGAAATTTATTCTTTACGTAGTTTAAAATAGAGATCTGACTACACTTTTGTTTACATTCATGGACTATCTGATTTGTACCAATTTTGAAATATCTGAGCCAGTATAACATAGATAGAATTACAGAGGCAGAACAGAGATTTTAGAATCTGGTAAAGCAAGTTTTTCATTAGCATTTTTTAATCATAAAATTTTTTCTTGACATTTATTCTTTCATATGAAAAGTCAAATTTTTTGACAATTAAAAAGTTTCATGTCTTAATCAGAGTTGCACTAAATTTTGCATTCTCCTTTCAAGAAATATTTAATAATATCGTAAAACTCAAGAATTTTGTTACATTATTGAAAATTTTACTCTTGTTTCAATAATATTCTTCGTATCATTTTACCTGAATTGATTTTGCAAATATTTTTATACACATCAAATTGTAACATTATGAATTGGACAGCTTTTTCTTCCTTATTTGTAACTTGTTATTTTGGATAATAAACTTACACAATGTTATATTTTTGTCTTTTATCCAATGATTTTTTTCAATCCTAAATTACAATAGACATTTAAAATAGAATATTTTGGGTTTTCCAGGTATATAATCATTCCACATGTATCTAGAGATTATTTTATTTCTTCTAATGTTCATATTGATTATTATTACATTAGCTGGTTTCTTCAGAACAGTGTTGTATAACAAGAATGACACACATACCCATCTTATTTTTATTTTTCATGTAAATGTCTTTAGAATTTAGTGCTAGTATGATATTTGCCATTGGTTATTGATAAATAGTCATTAATGTGTGTAGAAGTTTCTACTCTTCCTGTTTTATTTAGTGTTATTATTATAAGTGGCTCCTATATTTTATCAAATATCTTTTCACACATATTGTTAAAATATATCATTTTTCTTTTCCTTTAATTTCTTGATGTAATGATTTAGGGTGGTTGGTATTTGATCTTGAACCAAACATGTATTTCAGAAATAAATTTCACTTGGCCATAGTGAAATAATCATGCTTTACAATACTAGATTTTATTTACCAATATTTTATTTAGAAGTATTTTATTGCATTCCAAATTGGAATTAATATCTTTTCTTATGCACTGTAGATTGTTTTGTTATTAAAGTTGTATTAGCTTTAAAAAGTATGAGTTGATGAGTTTTCAATCTTTTCCTGTGAATTGAAATAATTTAAACAGCATTGGATTTTTTGCTCTATAAAATTATCAAGTAAGAAGGTATAAAACAATTTAATCCCAGTAACAATTTGATTTTAGATCTTTAATCAGTAGTCTAAGTTGCTAAGTGGTAATTAGTTCATTCAAGTTTTAGTCAAAAAGTAATATGTATTTTGTGTAAGGTACAGTTGCAGGCTGTCTATTACCAAGCTTGTTGAGAGTACTATTGGGATGCTATGTCTTCACATTTTTCATGCAAATTAGATCTGTCCAATTCTAACAATGTAGTAAAATCATGAGTTACAATATTTTAAATTTTTGTATCATGTTACTCATTTAAAATTTATAACAAAATACAAGAAATTATAAAATGTAAAACAAACATCTGTTTACCTACACCCCAAATTTACAAATGTCAACATTTTAGGATGTATGCTTTAGATTTCTTGTGAGTCATGAAATTATTTTATGTGTTTACTAAAAATATATCTATTACCAGTAATTGTATCAATTTTTCTATTTTCAAAAAATTCAAACTGAATAATCAACTTTAAAACATGTGGAATTTATTTTGAGTTTTATTGTAGGTATCTTTTCTCTCCATTTGAATTATGTCAAGGAAATGATCAATAGCATAGACCTTAAAATGTTAACTACTGCTCACTTTTAGTATGCCTGACACCCAGGGTGATTTGTGCCTATCCACATCCTTGAGAACTGAATTAAAAAGAGAAGAATCTCAATTCATACAGAATTCACATCCTAGTTAGAAGAGGTCATATATGCACCAGTTGTCTCTAATGTCTAGGCCAGACTCTGACATTATTTTGTTCTTGTGTCATATAATATTGGGGTTATTCTACATTTTGATACCCAGAAGAATGCTAGCTCTAATCTTAATCTTAATTGTCTGAAAAATGTGGGATATGGCAGTGGAAATAGCAAAAGTCTTCCTCACTTAGACAAGAAAAAATACTCTCAAATTTGGATATGCATATGAATGATATGGCAGACAAATAGTATTGTTTTCTGGTTCTTGCTTTCCCACTGGGCCACAAGTCATGAGTTGTGTGTTACATTTTTTTTTTCCTTTAGGACACTGAGCAATAAAATTAAAACAAAAAATCCATGACCTAGGTTCTAGGATATATAATAGAAACTACTAAGAGATTACTTTTGCTTTTCACCATATACAGATGGTAGTACATTAACTTTTTACTTAGTAAGTTATTTACTTATTAATAACTGTTTATTTATTGTCTTTGAAAAATATGCCATTAAAGAACTTTCTTTTTAAAAAAAGACTTTATGGTGTAATTTAGATATACCTCAACATTGTTGGTTAAAAGGAATGTGTTTAAAAAGATTTCTGAATTTGTATCATACCAGAACATGCTCAATTTAAAAGCCCAAAACCAAAATAAATAAAATTTGTTTGAAAGTGAAAAAAAAAAACCAAACACCTTCTCTTAGAATCTAAATTGTAATGGATGAGTGGGGACATCTGTCACAACTCTTAGACCACTGGCCCTCAGGCTTTGTTTTGGCCCATAGCACTTTGAGTATATACAAAAACCTATAGTTTATTACAAAGTTTGTCTCTAGTTTTAACTTTGCTTTAGAAATTTACTGTACAACATTGAGCTAATGTAATGGGCAGAGTACAGGGAAAATCTATAGAGAATGCTGTGTTCATTAGCAATGCTTCTAGCCCTTACATTTCTCAGATCCTAAAAAAGAAGCAAGTATACTGGTGTATTTTACTATAATTTATATCACATAAATTAGCTTTAAGTTAGAGGGAGTGAATAAAGGGAGTGACTGGGCAGTGAATAAAGATGTCAAAGTTGCTATTGTCATGAAATTTGTCATGAAATTTGCATCCTGCAGGAGATTCTCATTCCCTACTCTGTAGGCCCCTTAGCCTATGTCTAGCTCTTAAATTTTAACAAGGTATCATACTTCTCTCATATTCTGACACATTTTCAGAGAAATTTTTTCTAGTGTTTCAGATATTACTTTTAAGAGAGGAAAATGATTAAAAACACCCTTCCTCCCATACATTAAAACTTACATCACAGTTGCTGAAAATTGATGCTTATGTCTCTTCACACATTACCCTATAATATATACACCATACTGGGGTGATTGCTTTGAAAAGCAGCAAAGTATGGTAAGTAAACACAGGCAGATTTATAACTTGGTTGTACTGTTTTACATAATGGACAGAGAAGGCATTATGATTGATTTCATTTGAATTAATACTGGATAAATTGAGAAAGAAAATCCTCTTACAGAAGCCTTAATTTTCTTGTTAGAACCAGGTGTGGCCAGAATGGGACTGAGTAAGGAAAGGACCAGTAGGAAATGAGGTCAAATACTTAAACTGACGCCAGAATGTTTTACTATCTTATGGACTAATGCTAGAAATTTTGATTTTAATTGGAGTGGGATGGGAAGTCACCAATGTTGAGCAGAAATATAGCAGTTGAACTTGTACCAATTGTTGAATAATCTGATTTGAAATGTCCCTTTCATAATGCAATAAGATCACATTCATGATTTATCAACATTGTCTTACTGGGCTTTCGGTTTTTTTCCCTTTGAGATCTCTTGAGATACCATTATCTCTTATGAATCCTTACCCTGGATCTTCCAGGTAGACGACTCTAACTGTTGCCTTTCTTCAAATAAGGAGATCAGAGTGATGAATTATTTTTTATTGTTAATTTTATAGAGAAAGAAATAGCAATGAAAGAGTTTCAAAACAGGTTAATAGGACAGGTAAAATAACTAGTACATTGCATACTGTTGTTTTCATAGTAGTTATTCAGAGTACAAGATGCAGACATGATATCTTGTCCAAACACTATTAGTACAAATCTTTATTCTCATTGAGCTAAGAGAAAGTAGCTGTATATCTATTCTAACTATTTTATGTACACAGATATATATGTATATATATAGATATAGATATAGATATACAGATTTTTTTTACTACAAAATGATCCTTAATTTATATCCCATTTTTGTTTAGTTTTGCCAGAGATAGGTATTCCATTGCCATTCAAATACTGTAAGTGCATGAATTCAGCAAAGTAATCCAATATACTCGAGTAGTCCATAATAGTTGTGGGTTATCTGTAGGACTGGAAATATCAGAAGTTGTTGAATTGAGGCTTTTAAAGCTGAAATAAAGCTATGTTATTATGTTGAACTGTAGGGGACTCAGGTCAACGAGGTTTGAAATTGCCAGTCAAGCGGAAGACCCAATACTGTTATGGACTACTGGGCTATTTTCGAATATTTTGCTGAGTTCACACAACTATAATATTTAAATGACAGAACTAAACAAAAAAGGGGATACAGATGAATGACCATTTTGTATCTGTATACTCAAAATGGTTAAGATAGATATATAGCTACATTCTCTTAATTCAATGAATAGAGGGATTTGT